GGTGATTTGCACGTGGCCTTTTCTTTACAAAGAGGTTGATCAGTTGTCTCAAGTCAAAAACTTGCTGTCAAGATCAGAAGCAAAGATGTCATTTTTATCTGAGTCACTGGAGATACTGGCCAAATTTGTGCCTGTCTTTGCACCAGAAAACAACTACATGAGAAAATATATATTGCTGTTATGCTTCTGCTCCACTAAGATCAACAGAAGTTCACCAGTGCAGTAGCTACCATGAGCATCAATATCAGGAAAGGACAAAACTCAGAGAAAAGCCAGGATTTCACCCAGCCTATAGAAATAACAAAGATAGCTGGACTCAGCAGACAGTGGTTATCCCACCACTTTAACAACAGCAGTAGTTCAATCTGTACAATTTCCTAGGTCAAAGAAAAAAAGAAGCAAACAGACAAAATTACATGCTTCTAAATATTAGCTGAGTATCCAGTTTGCTTCTTGTTTTCACTGAGATGCACTGCCATTTAGCATGAGCCACTGCTTACAAGTCTTTGGTCAGCTTATAGTCTGATGAGCGCAATCACATGCTAAATCACCTTTAAGCCAATTGCAAATAATACTTTTTAGGACTTTCAATGGGATGGTCAAGCTTTCTATAGCAATTCAGCTACATAATGTCTACTTCTCTGAACACTGGTACTACTTTTTCCCACTTCTCTGATAGATATTTTCCCAATTTTCACAGCAACAAAAAAAGTCAGTCCCTGCATATGCCTCAGAACACAGGCCATGTAGATCCAACAGTTTAGAGATAGTATTTATTTTCTAGTGATTCTCCCATCTTCTCTTTTTCCATGGCTGTATTTATACCAGCTTCATTATTTCCAAATCATTCATGAATCTCCCCCTTATATATTTTCTTAATGAGTGACCACAAAAAGCAGCTCAGCCATTTATGTTTGCATGTCCCACTGGCAAATGCACACCCTACCTAAGCAATATTCAGAATTAATATCAAACTTTATTTTCCCCCCCTCATTTATTCTCTCTCGACAACTCCTCCAGCCCCGCTGCAAAGCCTGGAAGACAGCAGCGCATCCTGTTGGGGGCTGGTGGGAACATGGGCAGTCACAGTCTCTCCTTGAATAAAGGGAGGTGAAAACTGCAACTCTGACCCCTGACTCCCAAATCCTACTTGAGTCCCTACCGATAGGTTCACACTGTACCTTAAAACCCAGCTAGATGCTTGAGGAGCTGAATTGGGGTTGGAGCCCTAAGTCCTCTATTGGTCTTAGTGATAGTGCCCTGCAGGGCCTGCCAGTGCTCCCAAACACAGGCTTAGTGAAGTGGGACAGGACTGTGAATGAGAGGAGGGTTATAACCATGAGGTATTTAGGAAACTGATCCAATCAAAGCTCATTCAGTACCTTCTCTGTTCAGCAGATACCCGGATCCTACAAACAGAAGAAAATGAGCTTCTCTCCTTCTCTAATCCCAGTTTTACTTTGAAAAAGCTACCTGACTTAACATTTCTTTATGAAGACATGCTGTAAAAGGTTCATTTTTCTCACTACTTGTATACAAGGACACAGACAATTGGAAAGTCACCAAAATGTAAACACACCTAAAGTGAATTTCATCATAGGTTTTTTTTTCTCCTATTATAAAGAGAAGATTGACTTCCTAGAAATGAGAATAACACAGTATATTCTAGACAGCAACTGTAAAGAAGGATCACCAGAATTGTACTGTTGTGCCATTCAGAACATCAGACAGCAAATTAAAAAATCTTCCACAGAGTAACTGCATTGACAGAGACTCTGTGTAATGCTCTGCTCGGAAGTTGCCTCTTGCAACTTAATACATTAATCCAGAGAAAGGATAAATGATTCTTGGTCTAGCTTCTGGTGGCAGATGAGAAATGACAAGGGAGCTGAGAAAGATGTTGATTACAGAATCTGAAAGACAGATATGAGGCAGAAAAACAAGAGAACAAAAAACAAACCTGAAGTATCTCTGACATGCATATGAAAATAATAGCTCTTGGTCAATTTGAATTCATTCTAATTGCCTATTACAGTGCAATTGTAGCATATTTTAAATGACATGCTGCTTAAATAAATTCCTGTGGAGGCAGTCCCCTCTTTGTGACCACAGGATATTTAACTAAGAGATGTCAGTAATGTGCTTCATTAATGACAATGGCTGCAGTACAGTGGAGAGGAATTACATATGAGGTATTACATTCTACGCATTCCTCTATAAGTGTGGGAATAGCCAGATGTGCCCTAAAAGTGCTAAGTAACTGCACTTGCTGTGACAAAGGGGGCTTCTGAGCATGGGAGGACTGCAACACTATGAAGAAGTAACCAACAGTGGCATGACTGTGATTGTAAATATTAGGCAGATGCTTCTGTACTCTAACTTAACTTCTGGGCAAGCATGTTCGGCACAAACACTTGTTACCCAAGAACAATGAATTTTTATGTTCTACAATACCTGTGCCAGTAAAGGTAATTATTCAAATGCCTGCAGGAAGCAGGCACAAGCATGTTCTAATGTCAGTCATTCGCAAGTTTTCGAGAACACTCAAAGAACCACAAAGAATCCCAACTTTTAAAACCACTTTCTGTATCTCCTAATGCATAGATTATCCCACTAACCTCTGTTCCTGAGTATTTTCATACAGTATTCTCTGAAATAGAAACTGTAGAGCACATGTTTCTATGCCTGGATCTCTTCAGGCCTAGAGAGCTCCCTCGGCTCTACATATCAGGTTTTTCTTCTTTTTCTTTTTTTTTTTTTTTTTTTTTTTGTTAAAAAGAGGAAAAAGTTTAACTGCCTTCAGCCCTCTTACCATATGTTTTCCATGGCATTCAAGAGTGATGGGAACATGCGGTGGACTTTAGAAGTGTCTCTGCAAAAGGCTTAAAATGTACTAATTCAAGAATATAGTAGATTCTTATTATCCTACCGAAGTGCTGGCACAGATGTAGCGTGAGGGAGTGACAGTATGATTATTAATTACACATATTGAGGTACACCAAAATTAGTGCCAGATTTAGAAACAGGATGGACAGTTAAATACTAGATGCACCTTAATTTTGGCTACTACCTCCACTTCCTTCAACAGATGGTACTACATTTTAAAACCCAATTGCACCAGCTATTCACTCACCCTACATACCTTAGAACACACAAAAAAATCATGATCTAGTCATTCAGAGCAAGTATGCAGATGTGAAATAATATGCCTCGTATCGACAATCTCACTGGTAAATCTAATCTGAATAGTAGAACTGAATAGCTAATTTATTTCTCATCTAAACTGAAGTGAAAGACACATGAAATGATGGGGCCAACACCAGAGATGAAACTGGAACCTGCAGTTCCTGAGTTTCTGAAGTGCCTATTATTTTAAGATGCTTCACTGAAGTTTATATTATTCTCACCTAGCTTTTATGCATGAAATCATACTTTTCAGACTCAATATATCTAAAATTAATTACACATTATATATTTACCCACATGCATATGTGCTGTGAAAATAAAAAACTCTTCTTGTGTGTGATCTGAATCTCAATGATTCAACAGTTCCTAGTCTGCAAGCCCCGGCAGCACTGTGCCAAGTTGCCTGTGACTCCAAACATCTTGCAGAAGAAGGGTGGTTTGACTCAGAAGAGACCCTGGGTTTCCCATATGGTTGGCCTTTCATGATAGTCCCAGAAGGAAACAGCAAGAAGAACTTAGTATTCAACCTCTGAAGCTCAAAGTTTCTGAATACATTTACTCTATTGTCTTGGGTGGTGTTACCTCCATGTATGTATACACATCTCCCACTGGAACTGTCAGTGGCAGTTCAGACTGCCAGAAAATACTGCAGTGCCCTTAGTGATCCACTTCCTCACATGAATGTCCTGTAAAATTGTTTTCATATTGATGGAGCATTTCTTGAGTGACCAACAGAGCTGTAGGGGGGCTTGAAGAATTTGACTGTACCCATCTCACTACAAACTGATGCCCTGCTGTAATTGGTAAGTTGGACTTTGCTCTTTTTGGCAGGAGTTTTCTGTAGATCCTAAAAAGTTGACAAATACACAAGCTGATGTCTTTCACATTTTGTTCTTCTCCACACCAGTATTTTCATTGATTAGACAATCTTTTTCTGCTTAACTTTGATTCATTCAAAAACTGGTCCTATGGCACCCCTGTGTACGTGCTGCCACACAGTACCTCTGTTCACAGCCAAAGATGAAAATTCAGTGGTTCCTTGTTATTCCTTAAATAAGTATACAACTTGAAAGAAATGTATGCAGATGATTGTATTGCAGCACAACAGCTACGTTTGCTAGGCTTGATCTCCAGCCTACAGGAAACGATGGAAACTTTCGCATTAGTTTTAGTGAGGTTTAGATCTCTTCCATAGTAACCTAAGTACAGGTCTACTACGTGCACATATCCTGCATCAGGATTGTGATAGCTGAGCTTCTCCTTTCAATGAATCTCCTGTTGGGAGTTCAATGTTTTATGCTGAAAATTAAGTTGTTTCCTAGGAAATAAGCACCACTGTCTCTAAGAAAACTTGGGTAGGATTCACATTATTTGATGCAGATGTCTTCACTGTGTCTGAACTAGTGATACTTGGCTTCCTCCAGAGCCAATACTATACAGAGTGAAAAAGCCACTTCTATGGCATGATCTATCTGCCCCACATAGATGTGTACTTTTAGATGTCACGAAGTGTAAGAAAAGCCTTTATCTCTCAACTGAGTATCAAGACATCCTAGCATGAGTAGGTCTGATTTAGATTATCTACCCTGTAGACATCTGTCCTTGATCAGATGATCCCACCTCAGGTGGCCTGAATTGGACTCGGTAGCCAAACAACTTTACTAGTCGTTTTTACATAGTCACTATGGTTAACCAAGATGAAATCGAAGGCAACGTCTGTGAAAGAAACAGCCTAGTGTTTCCTCCCTTTTACTGCTGTGATACGAAGTCAGCGGCTTAGCAATCTAAACAGAGACGGTTTACCAAGCCCTTACCTTTGGGGATAGTAATCTGACAGCCCAGGTCACAGTCCTGCTGCAACTGATAAAAAGCCACTTCCTGCAGCCGAGCGCGCTCCAGCTCCGAGAGGCTTTGAACGGGAACTGACTTCAGCCGAACACTGCGCCCTGACATGCTGTTCCAAGTGAAATCACCCTACAGGAAATCAAATGGAAAAATATGAAGCATCATATGGTATGCACAGTTTAATAAACAGAACCATCTCTCTTACTGCTAGGAAAAACAACACAGGTCCTCTTTTCTAAAAGGCCATTTTCTTGGACATCTCTAGCTTTTCAAATATCTTTGTTTTCCTAAGAGCAGCATTCCTTTAAAGGAGTACAGACATGCAAAACAAAAAGTCAATTCTGTCTGAAACCATTTAACCAAGTATTGTTGCAAAAACATTAGTATTCCCGTAACCAAAAGCACAAAGCGGGACAAAAAAAGCCCTTGTCTGCTTTTCCTAGTTTGCTTTCTTTGTACAGTACGCAGTCATCACTTCATTCCTTTCCCCACACAGTCAGACGTGCAGACCTCCACAGGTCTGCGGACAACATGCATCTTACCCCCTCAAGTACGTAATCCCACTCCACCAGACAGTTGAGAGAACACACAGGCAGAGCCCCTTTCTCTTTTCCGACACCTCCCATTCCCTCCTTATGATGATATTGTATTTAGACCACGATCGACTAAAGGACAAGCTGTTTCATATTTTTGAAAAGCCATAATAACAATGTATGTGTTAAAATTTATACAGGAAAACAACATGAGATAGGCTACATCTCTGTAAGGTACCAATTATGCTTGGAAAGCAAATCAAAAGCTTTAGCTGTTCTATCTCCCACCTGTGATAACATATACAAAAGGCTATTCTTTTAGCTGGTATTTAGGTTGGGTGAGAGAAATAATCATCCATCAAAGAGAAGTGCAGGCACACAGACAAGGCTTAAAGGCCGGCAATTAACTTCAAGCAAGAATTTCAGAACTCATCAAAGCATCATCAAAGAGTGCATTTTAGCACTACAGGGAAAGAAAGAAGAATTTGTTTTTCATTCTAACCACGTTAAAAAATAAACATCAAACTTATCAGTAGGTATAACCCGATGCAGCTGTAGATAATGGAAAAACTGATGTACATCAGCGGAGCTGTAAAGACAAATCCACCAACCTGCCCTTCATCACAACATGGCAAACTTACAATTAATAAACTTCACTCTCATTTTAAATGCTCACTTTCAGTTCAAATTTCAACATCTCTACCTACACTGCATGCTCATATTTTCACCATTCACTTTTAATTCATCTATCCTGCACATATATCTGCAAAGGATGTTCATTGACTTTAAAAGACATTGGCTGAAGCTCCTGACTACAAACGTCAGTAAAATTTGGCTTTACTTAGCAGCTACGCATCCTGTTGCATGTCAGCATCTTTGTGCACGTTTCCATATATTTTGCCTCGATATGTGTATGTTTATATATATATGTGCACACATACAACCTGTATATACATTTATGTACACACTCATATCCATACCTCCATATGTATGCCTATATGACTCTGTGTGTGTATTCACATATAAATGGGACAAGACCCATTAATCTAGCAATACAGATCAAAGGAACTACACATTAAACACCATTCCTTATGATACATGAAGTATGTTTTCAGCCCATCAAGGAAGATTTTTTTCATAGTATTTTTTGTAAGTCCTTAGTCAACCATAACAGATAAAGCTGTTACCTCAATGTGAACAACTTTGTATCCATACCCTCAATGCATGTACTATGCTTGATATCTTTATGATATTTATATATACATGGGCCACACAGGCAAACTTCTGCACTAGTCTGGTATCTGACTACTGGAATTTGTTCCTTCATTTTTTGCCTCTTCATCTCTTCTTGCTCTTCTAGCACCTTACTGTTGAGTAGCTAGATTTAGTAATCTCAAACTAAAGGTTTGCACCATGACATAAGCTGAGCTGACTAGCTTAACTCAAGCAAAACCAAAGCAGCAAGAGTCACATAAACCTTATTTGCAAAACTGCAAGTAAACATTTACATTTTTTAAAAAGCCATTGTCATTTATAGATAAAAGTGATCGAGAACAGAATACACAACCAGACAATGTATACTAAGAAACTAATTCCTTTCCAACCCTGATAATGCAAAAGAAACTTTACAAGTACAGAAGTATGCAATTCAATCCTCATGAACATATAACGTACAAAATGTTCTACAGTCAAAATGGTAGAGAGAGAGAAATACAGGTCTTTATGGTAGGGTTTGAGGGGATTTTATCTTATCTATTTCTCCGAGATGAGCATTTTCATAAACAAAAATATCACTGATGTCTACCATAAAAAATTTCAAACCGAGATACTTAATTTTGAAACAGGAATGGGAAGCAAGAAGGATATCCATTAGAAAATGCTGAAGTAACAGAATATTGAAGACTAAACTTTTTAGGCCGTGTCCTCTTTCCCCTAGAACACAAAAATGAAGGGGGGGGGGGGGGGGGGGCGGTGCGTGTGGGTAAGTGTGTGTTAGGAATTACCACAAGTAAAATAAGTATTCCTTAACTGAATTTTGCAAGGACACAAGAATTATTGCTCTTGTTCAGATAAAAAATACCAAGGGCAAATCCAACTCTGGAGGTAACTCCACATCCTCTGCCTTACCTCTGAGTCAGCTCTGCAACTGCAAGCAAGCAGCGAGCTATACCACTGCAATGCCACAGCCCAACCAGTTGAACTCAAGAAAGACAGGGCTTCCTAGCCCTGGTACAGCCCTGCATTAATATTCTGCTTTGGGGACCCCAGTTGTTTTTTTATTCTGGCAGTCTGCATGCACCCGGTATGTCCCCGACGCTCAGTGGGTTGGCCCTGTCTGGCTAAAAATGGTGGGATGAAAGCTCGGCACCTTCCAATGCCAGGACAGATCGCTGAGCAACGATGAAGAATGTGGAATCACTCTGTCCTGTTGCTGTGCACTGGACATTCCTCTTTTACACTCGATGGGTTTGATAAAATCTCTGCTAGGTCACATTAACATAGGTTTTTACTATGCTAATGGAACACATGACTAATTAACTAGAATAGTTTGGGAAGGTCATATGTTAGGGCCAGTGGAATATCCTAATGTGCTAAAGAATTGAGAAGTGCAAAAAATGTTTCCTTGAAAAAGTCTGTTTTATATGGCAAACAAATATCACTGTCTTCTACAAGCCAAAATACAGTATTTGATAATTTAATCTATTCACAGTCTCCTATGCTTTGTGTGACACAAGGTACATTAAAAGCCTCATCTTCCTTCTAAAGCACTGTACAATTTTACATACACCCTGTGAATTACTGCAAAAACAACCAGGTTTGGGAGAGGTCCAGAAAAGTCAAGCTCCCTTGGAGAATGGGTGCTGGTGCAATTACATCAGTCACATCTGCCTAAAGCTATTCTCCAGTCTGTGGGGCAACCAAAGAAGGGAAATGGCAGGACAGACACGGGGAATATTTTCTGTTTCTCTCTCCATATGAGGAGGCACATTTCATCAGCCTCCTTCAGCTTCAACATCAGCTCCCTGCAGAAGCTTAAGAGAAGCAGAAGAACTTTAAGCACCAAGTCAGAGTGAATTGGTTTTTTAAAGTTCATGCCCTGCATATGTATTCAGACATACATAAACAGCTTTTTCTCTGTTATTTAGATTGTAGGTCAGAATATGAGCTGCAAATGGCTCCTTGGTCACCAAGACCAAAAAAAACCCCAAAACAATACAAAAACAAACAGAGAAGAGCGCAAACAGAAATATTGCTCTGGGATAAAGTGATCAGCCTGATAGGACACAAACTGCAAGGGTGCTTTCATAACTGACTTTTACGAAACCCTAAACCAGACTAAAAGCCTTCTCTCTTTTCTTCTACCAACCAGTCACTTCTTTTCCCTCGCAAGTCTCCAGCCTCAGCTGCATTTTCTCTCTGGCCCTCCCACTAACATCTAAGGTCTTTCCTCCACTCAACCAAGCAGTTCACGTACTGGGTAAGTCACTAAAATACCAGAGCAGATGACTCAGCAAAGGAGATGACTGATTAACTGCATCTTGCACCTTTGAAGAATTCGTCCACTTTTTCCATATTTCTTGTCCACAGTCCTAATAATCACATTTTTAATATGCTGCAGGCTGCAGTTTTACTAACATTCTTTCGAGCAATTTTTTCAACAGGTTGGACGTTCAGTGGCTCCAAAATAAACGTTAAGTGATACATCCTGACTTAAGTAACACTATGCGCTTAAATTACTCTTAAGCATGTGTAGGCTATTCTTGTGTACCTGACGTCTTTCTCCTGAGCCTCCAGCATACAGTCTTTTCAGATGTCTTTTAATGAAGTCTCTTTCTTCTGTCCTTTGTACAATACAGAAACCGGTTGACAACTATAGCAAGGAATCCTGAATGTAGATGCAAATCTACGGGAGATGGTCGACCTCTGTTGATCTCTGCAGAGTTTTAAGCCTTAGTGAGTAACGTGGATTGTGCACAGGGTTGGAAATAAGAACCCCCACACACGGTGGTTTTAAATAACACAAATTTTAATGCAAGATGGAGAATGCAATTTTTATCTTACTGCATTATTGTTATTGTTAATGACTTTAGTCTGCACCCATTTAGGCAAATGCCATTATCAGATTAGCTGTCTACTTTTCATTAGTCTTTTGCTTAAATCCGTTTGAAACCACTAAGATCAAAACCAATTATGTCTACTTGTTTTTCTCCTACCCTAGCAACACTCAGCTATGTGCTTGTATTTAGATGGGTCTCCACTGGAAAATAATTCCGTATTTTTGCACATGAAAAGCTTATATTGCAACTAACATGGCATTTCAATGTCTTGATTCTGTTTGCTTAATTATTTCTTTAAACATCATGAAATGGTGTATCATTGCCACTTTATAAACCTTTCAGTTACCTTGGTCATTCATTTCAACTCCTTCTAAAATTATTTCCGGACTCCTCAGGCATAAACTCTCACAATTTGACTGTCAGTGCAGGTACTCCCTCTCTTCCTCACTTCTCTGCTGTTGCTGTTAGCATGAACCAAAACCAGTTGCAAAGTGAAAGCCAGTGACTCCAGTACAGCTATATACTCTATCATATGGAA